TAGACCATCGGTTTTCGTGTCCCATGAGACACATAATACGTTCACTCTGCTTCCTTTTGTTGCAGCGATTTCGTAAGAAACTCCGTCTTGCCGGAATTGATCCCTAGGAGAATCGAGTTAGAATTCCATTTTTGGAGCTGCATGTCTGCCAGTGACAGGATTGCGTTTGCTTCGTGATACGCAATTAATGCATCGGATTCAGTCGGGCTCCCAAGAATGAGATCGTCGAAGTAGAATGAATTTTGGAGGCGAACTGCCATTTCTGGGTATTCGACTTTCAGGGATTTAAAATGATGTTTCAGCATGGCTGCTAGCAAAAATGGGCTTAAAGGGTACTCGGGTCATTCGCTAATCAATAAAGGCAAAAGTTGGTTGACTGTCTGTTGGAAGGTGCTCTATAATCACAAGAAACGAAGCGCGCTCGGTCTTGTTGGCGAATGCTGATTTAGAGGTTCACCTTCTGTATGTCTGCTGTGGTGGTGTCCGGAGCACTGCGGAACGTTAGATGCATACGAAGTACATCTTTATTGATCTTGGAGGCCCTTGTCGAAAACACAGTTTGACGAGATCTTCCCGGCGCCATTCGAAAATGCATCAAACACGACGCGGTCCTTTGTACTAACTGCTTCTTGTCCAGCTACGGCATGATGTGGTAGATAATATACCTTTTCTGACTTCGGGTGTGATGGGCAATCACGTTCCACGTGACCGTCCTAAATATACAGCCCGACTGCGTTGTCGTACTCTAGAAGTGTTTCTGGGTGTTGGCTGAATCTTCGTAACTGTGCTCGAAGGCGTGATTCTGCCACGGTGCGGTTCTTGTTGCCAAGTCCCAAGCCAGGTTACTTTATCGTTAGAGGAACTTCGTAACAGTTCTTCACCTTAACGATGTTATTCTCAAATTCCAAAAGCGTCGAACACTCTTTAGCGTATACCACTGGTGGTTCGGCGATTCCAATGGAATCGACGCGCCACATCTCTGACGGCTCAAAATGGTTCTGGCAGTCTGCAAGCGATTCACTTGCCAGAAAGAGGGTCGATATCGTCCTTGAAGATTCAGAAATTGACAATGTGTCTGTGCCTTGCAGCATCCATCAAAAGATGGTGTTCCCGCCTATAAGTTCCTTATCGAAGCGGAGAATTTCACCTATTACAACCTTCCAATAATCATCTAAACCAACGAAAACGTCGATTTCGCCTCGCTCATTGGCCTTCGTTGGAGGGACGTCGGCAGCTACGAGCCCGTGAATCCGCAGTTTCTTTAGAAGCTTACCACTGATAGGAGGGGAGCTCCATGGTTCATAGCTCCGGAATTTCCAGAGCTTCGAGTGTGATTTGTGTGTCGTTATACTGGCGTAACATGGTTACCAGGACTCGTCGGCAATAGTGTCGCTTTGGAATGCGAGTGTTCCCAAATGTGAATATGTTGATCTCCTCGTTGCCGAGTTCTGAGCATCCTACATTTTCGGACACGTCACGTTGTATGTTCTTTGACTGCCACTGTCCAGTATCCTGACCAGGGTGTTATTCGAGTGTCTAATGGCCCAGGCTTTAGCGGTTTGCAGAAGTACTGTTGTGGAATTGAACGTGCTCGTGGGTGCGTTTGACACGTGTGCTTGTCGTTTGATGGGGTCATTTGGTATGGAATGACACGTGAATGTTCGCTGGTTGTTTGGGCAGAAGTTGGATTGCCCTGCCAGAGATCGCAAAGGATAGTAAAGTGGCGGCCAATGCAGCGAGCGTAGGCGAGATGTCTTGGCATGCGGCTTTCCCCGGAGATGGTTCATCTTGCCACAGCAAAAACAGCGCCTTGCGATCCTCAGACGATTGCACTTGTGCGCTTGTTTTCAGCTGGCAATGTCGCTTGACAATTCTGCAGATCGTGTTCCATCGTGTTGCAGAATGGATAAGACGGAGTAAATCTTAACGATTATCCAGCTGCTAACATGTACGATGGTGGAAATCTTTGTTGCTCATTTGACTAGTTGTCCCCTTCACCTGGTAGTGCGTTGTTCCTCAGGCTTCTTGTTGTGTGAGATGCGTGAGATTCCTCTCGACTTTCCACCTGAATACGGAAATTTTTATCACGCTCTTTACTTGCTCCGGTCCTGAGGTAGTGGGGTGGTCCATATCAGGATTTCTCAATTCCCCCTGCACCGATTCTTTCATCTTTTGTCTATATAAAATAAAAAATATATTGTGGGAGGGCCAGCCTGAGCACTCTGTTGAGTACAATCGCGTACTGAGCGGGGTGGGGGGCAAATTCTTAAGGGAGCTTATTCAGAAGATCAGGTTGTGGAAGATCACTCGGAAGATCACGTTGATCACACAACTGAGAAACATTGTCGGAACTCTTGATGGCCGGTAGGGCCAGAAGCTGGTCAACATAGTCATCCACTAGAACATCGTGTCGTCCGGAGCGCTCGGTTAGTACAGTCGGCGGCAAAAGTTTGCGGGGCGCGGGAGCGTCAGCCGAAACGACTGGTTGCGCCTTCTGACGGCGCGCGACCGCTCTCAAGAATCACGCTTCGAGAATGTGCTTCCTTTCGTGCTCGAAGTCTTGTCTTTTTTGCTCTCTTCCGCCCGACGTGCACGAGATAACCGGGACCGGCGCAAGGTGCCGCTATGACAGTCATCATTCCGCGCGTCTGCCTCAGCCACCGTAATGGGTGACGGAACTCGCGACTGCTACAGATTACGTTTCGCGGCATCTTGCGCCAGTCCCTGTTATCTCGTGGGCGTCGAACGGAAGCGAGAGAAAAAAGCATGACTGCGAACAAGAAAGGAAGCGCATGCGCAAAGCGTGAGTCTTGAGAGCTGCAACGCGCCGTGAGAAGGCGCAGCCAGTCTTTTCGGCTGGCGCTCCCGTGCCCCGCAAACTTTTGCTCCCGACTGTACGTTGACTGTAACGTCGTATTCTTCTTCTGAGAGCCGAATCTATTCAAATGCGCGCTTTGCTTGGCCGGTGAGGTATGACAGAATATACTTGAACTTTTCGATTCTTGGCAGATCCGGTTTGGTGTGTATCGTCGCGTGGAAGTGACTCAAGAGACCCTGCCAATTTCTGAGGTTCCAACCAAACTTGGTATTTGGGGTTTTGGTAGGGATACGGTTCGAGGATGCTGCCGTGGAATGGACATTGCGGTCGATGTTTGGGTGCTATGTTCCGCATTCAGAAGGCGACGGGTTCTTGATATAATAAAGCTGACGTTCTTTTCGTACTCCATCTGACTGGCAATTTCGTTTTCGAGTCCCTCCTCGTCGATTAGCGCGGCGATTTCCTTATCTAGATCTTTAAAATGTGCTTTTTTGTTGTTGAAGATAATCTGCGCGGTTCTTCAATTCGTCCCTGGCTGGACCGGGTCTAACCAGAATTTCTTCCATTTGAGAGATAGTCCGGATGACTGCTCCTCGAGCGACGGCGCGGGTTCTCTTGGCTCTTTCCATCGTAGAACGTTACGAAGTCAGGTTTTCTCCCGGGTTTCGGCACCAGTGTGTTGAAGATAAAATCGGGAGAACCGTTCCGTTCGAGCCCTATTCTTTGTCTGCCCTTATTGTCCCGCGTCCCGGGCACCCACTTCCTCTTCCTCTTTTTTCTCCAACAGCCATCAAGTAAACACCGAAGATGAAGCACTATAAGGTTGATGATACACCAAAACAAAGATGTTTCATGCAAATATGTGTGTGGGAATTAGCCACTAGGGAAAGGTCAGCACGCGCATGAGCAGAACATCTCGGGGAAGGAAGTCAGTTGAGGAATAAAACAAAATTGGCAGCGATCTTTACCTTCAAAGTCCTATAACGCATGAAACGAATTATAAGGAACTGGTAAGGGAATTGGTGTGTCACGTGACGCACATTTTCCTGCTAAATTTAGCGGGGAAACTGAATAGTTGTATAGGTCACGTGACGTCACGTCACATCGATTTTTTCCGCTAAATTTAGCGGGGAAACTGGGTTGGTATCTAGGTCAGAAGACGTGAATTTTCCCGCTAAAAGTAGCGGGTAACTGAATCGGTGTATAGGTCATGTGACGTCAATTTCCCGCTAAATTTAGAGGGGAAACAGAATCGATGTTTTGACCACGTGAATTTTTCCGCTAAATTTAGCGGGGAGACTGGGCTGACGTATAGGACACGTGCCGTCGATTTCCCCAAGGTTTGTAAGTCACGTGACGTCAGGTGAGGCTCGTGACGCCACTTCCCCGCTACATTTAGCGGAGAACAGGCGGACGGACGGACACAATAGAGTGTTTTCGTAGATCGTTTTTGCCGTCCCGCAAGGCCCTCCGCAACCCGCTAGGATAGCGGAAACTCCACAGTCAAGGCTATCAGCGCGCAGGCGCAGTAGCAACTTCTTCATTGCGGAACGCTTAGCGGAGGGTGCAGCGCGGTCTACGAAAACTCCCTAATAGGGAGTTTTCATAGATCGCTTTCGCCGTCCCGCAAAGCTCTCCGCAACACGCTACGCTACCCGGAACTCTGCAGTCAAGGCCATCGGCGCGCAGGCGCATTAGCGGCTTCTGCGTTGCGGAGGGCTCAGCGGAGTGGAAAACGCAGTCTCCGAAAACTCCCTAATTTGGGGATTGGGGCTGCGTTAAAAAACCCGTTTAATGCTCTGATATAACAGCACAACCGTGAAGAGCGTTTGGAAGTGGAAAGGTTTGACCGCCAAGCAACGAATTCTGCCCGGTCTTACTGTCATAGCGAAGATAAAAACAGGGTTCGGAAAAGATAAATGCTCGCTCAATAGCAAGCCATGTTATGATACGATGTATCCGTATATATGGCGAGAACTTTTTTTTACGCGAGCGTTTTATTTTTATTTTTTGTGGCTTTATCGTCGCAGATAATGCTGGCCACATCGTCCACTTTATTTCGAACACGTAACTTTCCACGGGAAAGATATCAAGAATAATGACTTGTTTCTTTCGCTGCAACTCTGGTCTGGATATCTACCCGCGGCTGCACGAAAGTACGTGAAAATGAGATACTACTCACTTCTTTCTTTCCGATTTCATAGTCGTGATGAGCGATGCCCAGTTCGTCCTCGGTCGGGATTGGCTTGTCCTTGTCCGCCTCGTCCTGGAGAAAAGGTCGAATTTGATTAAATTCAACTTCAAACTGATTTGCGGGGGTTCTAACGCCGCAATCACATCAACCTACACGCCACTGAGGCCCTTACGAGCCTATACTGACACTTCGGCTCCTACGGGTGCCTTCTATACACACATCCCATGCATGAGTGCGCTTCAGCAAGATAAGAATGACACGCCTCAAAAAAGCGCTCCCCTTAAACTCTGAAAGCCAATGGGGCCTTTAACAAGTGGCCCTTTTGGAGGTAACTCATTAAATTATATTACTACAACGAGACACTTTAATAAAAACAACAAAAAAACAGTCTCTTGTTTCTCGCTCTGGTGAACGCTTACGGTAACACAATGGATGAGAACTCGGATTCTCTAAGAATCACGTCGGTAAGAAATTAAGCCTAACACGCCCCCGTCACGCGTAAGATTTTGCTATAGTAGAAACCAATGTATTTTTAAACCTTTCTTTTCAGATATAAATGAGAAAAAAACCAATAATGTCGAGGCTTTGAGGTAATATAAAGGTAGAGTTATATCACGCGGAAAATAATTGTCCCAGCTAAGGTCAGCAGTGTGTGTGTGCATGCGTGCGTGTATGTGTGTGTGTGTTCGTGTGTGTGTGCAGCCAATATATTTGTTGAACTCGGTAATTAGCAATCTCGGTGTTCGCCCAGAACGAACATATATTATTTCGTTTTATACTTTTTTTACTCGAAGTTTACTAAGTTCCTAAGGTATACTTCCCTTGCAGGAGTTTCATGTCAACCTTTACTACAGCCACATTATTGAAACTATTCAAGCGTACAAACACAAATTTGCCAAAAAGGAATTAGTTTACTAATAGGAAAAAAAAAAGAAATACCAAATACACTCAATTTATCAGCTCTACAAAAAAGGCTATCAGGCCGCTGATAATCACCTAAACAATCTATGACTCTATGATTGAATGAATGAATGAATGAAATGAACAAGAGAATAAAGAGAATAACTGGAGGAAAAAAAAATAGCAAATTCAAGAGATTCTCGGAAATTTATCTCACCCTATCTTACACAAAGCGTTAAGAGGGGGCGCACCTCAGAGCCCCATAGAGAATACATGAGGTTTTTCACCAAATTAAAAAACTTCTCACATAATAACGGCTGCGCGGATCTTCTTGAAAATTTCGGCTTTAAAGACATTGAGTCATTATCGAGACACTAAACGCAACAGATGTTTCATCATAAATTTAATTATATTCTTTAAAAAATCATGAAAATGGTCAAAATCGGCTAATTCGGCACTCTTGCGTTCGGAGCGAATTTACAAAATTATCTAAATTTAAACATTAGAAGTATTGCGCTTAATGTCTTCTAAATTTATTACGGAATCGAATAATATTCAAATTATTCATGTAAGTCGATTTGTTCCGTAACTACAGCAAATATAAAGAACCAAGGTGTCGGTGCTTGTTTTCGTCGTTTTTAAGGTACCTCTCTCTCCCGTGCGGTGGCGCTCGCTGTCCACGAAATGCGAAATCGTCCGTTCGGAGATCGGCCGGATCGGCACTGTGCGAGGTGTTCTTCCGCGGCCGTATTCCGCGCCCGTATCCTGTTTCATTCTGCACGCCGAGGCGTCAGTGTGCGTGTCTTGCTTTCCTGGTTCTCGCTGGGTAGGTCTCCGTGTTTTCGCAAGTGGCAAATTCACCTTGGAGCTATGGGTCGAAGACAACCGTCCTGTGGCAAGCGGACCGCGAGGTGTTCCACAACCTCGCGGTCCGTCAACGCGTTGTGCTTGTTTCTACTTTTTTTTTTCTTTTAAAAACGGGCTTTTTTTTTTTTTGACGCAAAGTTTTATTTTATCGTTATCCTTCACACAAACGTCCTTCGGCCTTGGGGTCGTGGAAATCGGGGATGAAGCGTGCACAGAGTAGATCGTTGTTTGCCTCCTTTTTATTTTTCACGGACGTCCTGTGACCTCCGTACGGTTCGTGGTCACCGCAATCTAACGCGGGGAAAAACGGGTCGCCTGCTCTGTAGTCAGGGTATTCCTAGGGGAGGGTGATAACTCGCTGTTCTTCTGGAAATTCACATATCACCCAAAAAGGTGACATGGGTAATGATTACGGCATGTTTTTTCCGGTGTTTATTTTTGAGCGAAAATCGGTGCATGTTTTTCGGTGCTTATTTTTTAATCACCAGTGTATTATGGGTTGAACGTCTTGTGATGACGCTAAAAAGCGTTGATAACAAAAGAAAAATGCGATTGGACAAGAACATTTCAAATTTCCAATTCTATTCACATATTTCATACGCTCTTCTCGTGGGAGCATCTATCCTGACGAAAAATGCCTAAGTCATTGAGCTGTGAACGCATACTCAGTGTACAATCTTTCGGCCTAGAGAGGTATTGCGCACGCTCGAACGCGCTTCAGAGCCCAGTAGACGAAGTTGGTGGCACCCAGAAGGCGAGTTTTTGAATGGTCTGTAGTAGGCAAAAGAAACAAATAACAATCAACGTATATCAGCTCTTCAAGCGAAGAGGCGCGTTTCAAGGTCAATGGTTTCGGACGGCATTAATGTTGTTGGCGTTGTCGTAAGATGACGTCAGTTCATACGAACTGACGTCATCTTACGTGATCACGTGAAACAAACACGTCATCTTACATGATCTCGTTACACGAAATGACGTCATCTTACGTGATCACGCTGCACGAAATGACGCCATCTTACGTGACCACGTAACACGTCATCTTGTAAATCAACCTCTCCCCACAGCAGCGCGCTCCGCGCTTTCCGGGCCCGTGCAGTGCTGTAGTCGAAATCAAGCTCCCTATGGCAAGCGAAAGCTTCTAAAGTCTCACATTGAGAATACTCGCAAGCGACCGTCTGTGGAAGCTTCGCACGTTGAAGTTTTTGTTGAGATCGAGCCATCGTGTTCCATTAACTATAGTTGAAGTTATCGTTCAATAAAGCCCTAAAAAATATGAATGTAGTTGGTGTAGACATCAAGATCTAATCAAAAATGCGGTTTGACGTTGTTTAATTAACGTGTATATACAAGTGTAGAAAAAAATGAGTTATTTGTGCATAGATGTTTAAAAAAGTGTTTATTATTCGACATAGGACTTTGGGAGAAGGATGTGTTCAGATTTTTCTTCATGAGCGCAAATATACCTGACGCAATAAATAGTGACGATTTCATCGTCCCAGTGGTGAGCAGGTGATTTTTTGCTCGAAACAATGATGCCATTTCATAAACCAAGTTCTGTGACATATGCTTTTCCAATGTGTGGTCACTATTTTGTAAACCTTTCAGTCCAAACGAGTATACTTCTGTTTGTTTTTGTTAGCTTAGGAGGGGGTCACAGAGCCTATCTTTTTGTCTTCCTCTAGGACAGACGTACAGAGTTATACCGCAACACGCATCTGTGGAGCACACAGAGCTATCGCTCTCCTGTTGGCGGTACAGTAGCAGACGACACAACGCAGCTCCGTAGTCTATCGAGGGCACGGCTAGGCGCGGCCCGTAGCGCGACCGTTCAGACTAGGGAAATGGTTTTGAAGAACCGAGAAATGGTATCTTGTATACAATAATCACATGTCGTTAGTATATTCTACTTGCCAAGCCAAATAAATATTTGCAGCTTGTGAGAATATGTTTGCGTGACGATTTACCGTTCACACACCTGACGGATGTTAGCGAATCCTTCATGTTCGTGGCTCGCAGTTATCGGTACCCCCTCGGAGTGACTTCACCATATATATTTTTTTCTTGCTTGCAGGACATCATAAAAATCACAAACACGCGAGAAAAAAAAAAACCTAATGAGTACGCGTGATTTTGAGCTTCGCAGCTCTAAAGATGCCCGTTAAATGTCGTCCAGCTTGCGAAGAAACTAATCCTTTTTGTTGGAGTTTGACTATCGTATGCTGGCAGCTCGTTTCCGGTCTGTTTTGTCCATACTCCTTTTCACCGTAATTTGGCAACCCTCAGTCAGAGCTGCTGTGAGGGAATCACAGTCGCGGAGCAAAGCACGTGACAGCTACCTTTAGGAGCAGTACTATGGCGCCTGCAGCGCGTCTCCGACTGGTGTGTTTAGCGTCTTATGCTGGCCATACATCAAAAGTGGTCCCGAAGTGCAACAAATGACGTCACAGAAGACGGAGTGTCACGCTGCTGCATCTCGCGATCCTAGCAATTCATCGTAGAAATGCTGGCGAAAACCACGAGGGAACACGAGTGTCGCTGTCGTCATGGCGTCCCAACGAAAAGCAATTATACAATTTCGACGTTTTTGTAATTCGGTAATTTAAATTACTGTATACAATTTTTAAGAAAATAAAGACATCATAACCAAATAGGAACTTCCGTGCTAAAACATGCAGTGCGAAGTGAAGACAACTACTATCTTTTTTTTGATGTCCACAAAAAAAAGGCTATGCAGCATCGATCCTACCGTTTTTTTGTTGTTTTTTTTCGCACATTATGTGATGTCCTCTAACACGAAAGTACCGACGTAAAAGCGCTGTAGAGACGATATAAAAACAAAAATTTAAGTGAATCGAGCTTTGTAGTGGAACGGAAATAAATAAATAATTAACGACTTTTTACGGTAAACACTTCGAATCCCAGACAAAAGCTCACCGGACAAAAACTCACCGGACAGAAGCTCACCGGACAAAAGCTCACCCATTTTTTAACAGACCCGGACAAAAGCTCACCAAGAGAAAATTTCATATTGGTCTTACAGAGAAACCAAGTTTAGAAAAAAAGGCGATGAGCCTCCTTTTAGCGAATTCGGCCACCGCGAAGCGGCGTCTACAGATAATTCAGGTGAGTTAACATTTTTCTAATGAGCCGCCGCAGACTGCCGCCGCGAAGCGGCGGGAGCGCAGCAGGGGGCTTGGATTAACACGCGCACCAGTGACACACGCGTGAAGTATAAAAGCCTTTTTTAAATAGCGTACCCTTTTCGATAAACGGCATATCTCTAAACTGAGGCTCTGCTTTCTCTA